CGCATATAAAAATCAGTGGTGTGTCTAGGGATGTGCTTGAGCCGCCCCTGCAAAAAATTCCTCTTTTATTTATATTTTTGTAAAAAAGGTATTTATTATATTGGATTTGCGCCATAAAAATGGTATGCCACCCGTCTTCATGGGTTCACCATGCTACTGATAAAAATACGTTAGTTTGGAAATATATTTATTAAATTTAATAGTAATTAAAAAAATTATTTTTTTATTTAAACAATTAACAAAAAATTAACAATTAAAAATACACTTGACAATAATTATTATACATATTTTATAAACTATTTAATTTAGTAAATGTTCAACATGTCCTCTTGCTTCTTGAATACAAAAATATAAATAAAAGAGGTAGTTTTTGAAGGGGCGCCTCAAGCATAACTAAGAAAGATACAAAGTTCATTTTGCTATAAAAAAAATTTAAAAATTCATCGTTCTTTTTGATTTTAAGATCGATAAAGCGAGTTTCTTTATGACAAAAAAAATACGGGGGGGTAAAATGGTACCCAACCCCCAACTTTTTTTAAAGGAGTCGCTTTATTTTTTTTTTTCCTTTAGAAAATTGGGCCTTCAAATTTACAGCACTGGCAAAAATTTCAAAAAAAAATCGCAACAGCAAACTTTTTACAAAAAAAAAAAAAACGTTTTTCTGAGTGTAAGTTTAACACCCTGTAACGTTGTTGGAATCCAGTTTTTGATATAGGTAAATATAGCCAAATCTACTTATTTTTTGGTAATCTATCCGAGGAAGAATTTATGACATACCTTTTTGAAACACCCTGTATAACAGTACAAATAGTTGAAAACAAGTCTGAAAAAATTAAATTAAAGCTAGGAGTTCCTCAAGCCAGTAACCTTAATCCACTATTATTCATTATGTAGGGTCCAATAACAATTAGAAGAATACAGCTACGTCATAACCATACTTCGAATTTCGAATGTATAAGATCTATAACTTTCAATAAACAAAAATTAAGTAAGTTGTTAGGTGTAAAACAATATTTCCTTTATACCTATTGTTCCGTTTTTATTTAAAAGTAACCCGACTATAGCCACCTTAATCGCCCGGACTATTTTTTTAACCGTTTCAAATTATTGCATCAAGAGCGCTACCATCACCTCTGTTTCCGCATATCCGCGAAGAATTAGGGTTCCCGCAAAAACAATAGAGATGATTGTCATTTTAGGACAGGGTCTTAAAAAAATTAGCGTCACCCCGCCATTATTACGTGTGTAGTCGTTGCACAGTTTCGAGTCCCATATGTAGACTATTCGGATCGCTCGATCAAACAAATCTATTGTGAGTCTTATATGACTAATCTTTATCGATATAATTGATCATATCGGTGTATATATGTGTGTTTCCCAAGAAAATCAAGTGTTGGATTTTACCGCTCAAGCAACGAGAACCCCTTCATGTCCTCGAGTCGCTACAGGAACTGGTAAGCAATTTTGTGTCGCTTTATTTTCAAGGGAACTTAAATTTTCGTGGTTCGCTGAAACAAAAATCGTGTTTCTTACTTTAAAACAAAACATCTATAATATTAACACTCCACTAAACCCCCGTTAGGCGATATCCAATTAATTACTTTGCCATAATGATGACGTAGCTGTGTTCTTCTAATTGTAATCGGACCCTATACTAGTAATTTTCAGTACTCTCCAAAATAGTGTAATCACTATTTTTTTGTTGATACACAAAGTTTTCTTTTAAATATGAAAATTCAGCAGAATCATCTAATTTAATTAATCAAAAAAGAGGTAAATAAAACAAGGGTGGTCCTTGAGATCTCACAAGAGTAATTTAATACGACCGGTTTCGAGGAGATCAGATCCTCATCATCAGGTATGGTCTAAAATAGATAGGTAAAAACAAATGAGCTCATAACTAATAAAGTGGGTTTAAAAAATTATAAAAGGTATCAAATATCAAGAACTCACCCGTATTACTCATCTATTTAAGACTAAGCTTAGAGATTATCACAGGGTCGGTGTAAAAAACAAGTACGCGAGTATTTTTTAAGAAATGCACAAAAATGCATAAAAACAGTAGTTGCAACAAAAAGTTAATGTCAAAACACAAGTAGGTCTAAAACTATTAATTAAAATTATTAAAATATTTCACGAACGGACAAACATTAAGACAAAATAAATTTAAAACTTTTTTAAACCCTACAAGAAATAAAATGGGCTCTTAGAAAACATGAAGTGTTTATAATTCTGAAGAATCTGAAGGTATAATTTTTTTATTTTAGATTAAAGATACTAATTAACGCCCTCTAGATATAAATAAACGAATTAACAATTCTAATATTTAAGAAAAACAGTTTAGAGGTTGTCAGATTTAAATATTTTGACATCGGCGTTGGAGAAATAAATGTTTCTTAATTAATAATATAGGTTTTAAAATGAATTATTTGAATTTGTATGTAATAATAAACAAAATGAAATAAATGAATTATTATTGTTACACGTAGAGGCTAGCATTAGCGTCGGAAAATAATTTAATTAATAGTGATTTAAAAAATGTTGCTAAACTTTCGTGCGATTATTTGACAGAATAAATCATGGAATGCTTTTAAGGATATTACATAACTTAGGATTTAATGAAAATTAGAAATATCTTATAGGATAGGATAAATCATTTTCTTCACTAGAAATAAAAAAAATGTGTTCCCTCAAGGAATTATTCTGAAGTCTTTATTATTACCAATTATTAATTAATATTTTTTGAGGATTTATTATTATAATCTTTGTAATTTTCTTTTATATTATTTACTTTTCAGTGGGTTCATATTTTTAGAAGCTTTTTATTGTATTAATAATTATTTTAATAATTTATTCTTGATATTAACTATATTATATTGTTATGTTTTCTACTTTTAGTTTACTGAATAGTTTCCTATTTAATTTAATTAACAGATAACGCTAATTTTAATTTTTCAAATTTATACAATTCATTATACCTATCTGACATCTATATAAAAATATTATAGAATTTTTATTTCCAATATTATTCTATATAAATATTTATTTTGTATAACAAAAAATATCGACTCATTAAAACACAAATAACCGTTTCGTGATAAACGAGCGATAGGAAAATCCTCTTTTCTCAGGCAAATTAAAACTTTCGTAATCTGCCAAAATCTGCACCTCAAAAACGAATTACGTAAGTAAGAAGCGAAGCCGCCAACCGCCATATTGAACTTCGCGGCATTTATCGCATTGTTTTTGATTTATAATTAATACGGCGAAGTTTATTGTTTGCCTCTACTTTCGGCATTGTAGGAAAATTCAGTTCTTGGCTTACAAAACGGGGAGTTTTAATGAAGCGGGATTTACATTGTTTACTTTTTCGAATCGGAGTCTAACGAATAGGAGCATAGCAATCTCGTTCCGAGGTGTCATATTTAAATTACTGGCTTGATTAATATGAAAAATTACTCAAATTTGCTCAGTCAGAAAAGACATTACCGGCTTATTAAAACAATCATTGTTATTGTATTTTGAATTTGAGTTGTTGTTTTGTAACAAAAAAAAATTGTTTTTATATTAGGGTTACCTATTTCAATAAATATATTTTCATCATCTAATTCTGTTTTTTATCCCTTGTTTTCTATTTGTCTCTTTTTCTATATTTTTTTTCTCTTCCTAATTTTATCATAATCATTCTTTTTTCTACATTTTAAATGAACTTCTTCATTCATTTTTATTCTCTTCATCAATTTTTTTTGTTTCCTTCATTTTTATTTATTTCATTTTTCTTTTACCAATTTTATTCATATTCATTTTTTTCTATATTTTGAATGTCTTTCGGCATTATTTTTTTTTTTTTCATCAATTTCTATTTATATATCTTCTATTTCTACCTTTACTCCTTTGTGTTTACCTGTATATATTTATTTATTTTTGTATATCAATTTTTCAAAACAATATTCAAAATGGACAATTTCACATCAACGACAAAATTAATAAATAAGCATCAGAAAAACAGCATATTATTTAAAATATGTTTATCTTAAAAAATTACTGTATAAAAAATAATTTTTGTTAATACATGCATAGAATTATTTTTTAAATTTATTAATATTTGTATTTATGAACTAGAAATGTTTTAATTTAATTTATACAAAAATATTAATTACTTTTTCATACGGCAATGCAGAATATTACATTAAGAAAGTTGAAATTTCAATATGAATGCACGAAATACTTAAGAGCCCCTCAAAATGGTAGGTAACTACTTAATAATGCTCGAAGTCTTATTCTGTAAATTCATAAATTGTTGGGACTCGGCGGAACTTTATTTATTCACTTTTCCTTTTTGCGGCGCTCTAAACTTTCGAGTTAAATACATTATGTTCCACTTTCAGGCACTTTTTTATTAATATTTACAGCTAAGGGATATTGTTCTTGTTTCTTTGTTATAACTTTATAACGTCTGCCAACTTGTTTTAGTCCTTCTTTTCGGAACAAAAAAAAAGGCGGGAGTGTTACCTCTCAGGACAGTCGTTCTGTTAATAAAAAAATTAAAAATTAACAGAATGAGCAGCCCTGATTTTATCTTCTTAGAGATACGTACTAAGTTTGTTTCATTGTTTGTTTACTTACCTTTTTAGATCCATTTAATTTTATTAATACTAACTTAATGTAATAAAAAAATGTGTATTACTATTATATTTGCTTGCAAACGTTACCAATTCAGTTTGTTATGATTATCATATAGAAATGTATGTTTAACTACTTTTAATTGCTAAACTTTGATAATCAAACTTGATATATCTTTCATCGGCACGTTCAAGTATATTATAATAAATTTTCTTTATTTCATTTTGTTGTATTTTCAAAATACGCATGAAACTATATAACTTGTTTAATAGAAACCTCGGAGAATATTTATATAATTAAAAAAATGAGTGGTCCTTATAATTCATCATTATTACTTATAAAGAAACCGTAAATTTTTAATAAATCTGATTATACTAACCTCAACTTTTTTTTCAGTTTTGACGTAAGAGGAAAACCCCTATCGCAGGCGCGCCACTGGTCAGCACCGGAAGTGTTCGGCTCGAGGGCGTACTTCCGGACAGTATCCGAGCCGGCGCAGCTCGTCATCGACGACATCCGGCGTCACGACGAAGGCGTCTATCGATGCAGAGTGGACTTTCGAAATGCCCAGACCCGCAGCTTCCGTTACAATCTCACGGTTATCGGTGAGTAAAATTTCATTACTTCATTTTGCTGTTCTACATGTATTCAATGATCTGGAAGAGGTAAGATTGTTGACAAATATATTAAAGCCCAGTTTACATTAAATGTAAACATTTTAATGAATTTAAAATTAAGAAAACACAAAGGATAGTAAAAATAAATCAAACTAACGAAATTATCAATAAGTGTGAATGTAATAATTAGAACAAACAACAGTAAGTTAATGAGGGTGATCTGTTTCAAGATAAACTAACCCACCCAGGTCGAACAAGACTTAAAAGTTGCAAATACTCCTTTACGGTTAGTAAAAAGTGCCTTATCAAGTTTAAAAGTGTGCTGAGAGTACAGCTATCCTAATACCAAAGGACATATATCAATTTTTTCCATTATATCTCCATCTTAAATATTTAAATCGTTCTTTAGAATTCATAAAACGATTAGATCCCGCCAAATTCGTTTTTAAAGTACAGACACTAACATCTAAAATATGGAAAAAAATTAAATCGCCTTTTGGGCTTAGACGGTAGAGTAGTATATAGTAAATACCTCAAAAATTCAAATATTCTCAGACCTTTTAAAATAAATCTTTATAAGGAATTGTGTGCAATCAGTGGTATTAATAACTTTTACTAAATGTACCAAAATGCATAAATATTGATATCTTTAACCAACAGAAAAAATAAAATAAAATGGCTGTTTATTACTTATAATAATATTAACAATAATAATATCCCTTTATTTCCCACCAGATTTAACCAGCCCATTACAGAACAGTATAAAAATACATTAAAAATAAACATCATTTCTTACAAAATGTACACAATGATTAAAACTTACTACTAGTAAAAATTTAAATTATTAAAAAAATATTTTGACGAATTAAAAATTCTGTACCCATACTTTCAGTTGCTCTAACTACTGAGCATAACGGTTTTTTAAAAGCAAATACCCAATACGGGGTGTTATTGAAATACACGTACATATTAAAACTGGGTATTGCGCAGATCCCCACTGAATGTAGAAAAATATTATTTTTTAAAAATACCCCTTATTAAGGGAGTTATTAATTTTTGAAAATTAATTCTAAAACAAACGTACTTCACTGATATGTTGAGGATGACCTATATAAATTAGGTTTATTTACCTATTTTAAACATCAACAGTAATTAATATGCAAGTTTTTGTCAGATGATAAGAAAACTAGTCTTGTAAGAAATAACCATGTTGCCAAGATTTTCGAATTAATTTCTATTTCCGAAGACTGGTTTTTACTACCCTCGTTATCAAAAAACTAGAATATTTGATAAATGATTGTTTTTAAACTATACATTTTTGAAACTATAGATTATTAAAATTTTAGTTGATTTACGAATCTGGCTAACACGAGCGCGTCATTTCCAAGTTGGTAAAAAGTGTTGTTACGATTACTTTTAAATATTTTTTTACGATGCCACTATTTACGAATATTGAATTAACGGATATAGTGCTGGTTTATGGGGCAGCTGGAGAAAATTCTCGGCAAGCACAAATCCTGTATCGCGAACGGTTTCCAAATTGGAGAATTCCGGACTGTCGTACGTTTATTTCAACTGTTCAGCATCTAAGAGACCATGGAAAATTTGAGAGTGTCAATGCAGATCGAGGGAGAACAAGAACACAAAGAACATTGGCGGCCGAAGAAGAAATATTGGAAGCTGTTGAAAACCGGCCTCAATTAAGTTGTAGAAGACTAGGTCTTGAAATTGGAGTGTCCTCATTTGTTGTGTGGCGGACACTTAAAGAACAAGGTCCAGGCCTTATATCCAGGTGATGAAGAAAAGAGAGTGGAGTTTTGTGAATGGATGATTCAAAAATGTGTTAATATTCCTAATTTTCTAAAAATATTATTGTATACTGACGAGGCTTCATTCACTCGTGATGGCGTGTTCAATATGCACAATACGCATATTTGGAGTGATGAAAATCCTCACGCCATTAGGGAAACTGGGCATCAAAGAAAATTTTCAATAAATGTTTGGGCTGGCATAATAGATCAGTATTTAATCGGGCCTTATGTTCTCCCGAACAGATTAAATGGGCCAGGATATCTCCACTTTTTAGAAGATATTTTGCCAGTACTCTTAGAAGAGATACCGTTACAATTAAGGCAACGGATGTGGTACCTACTAGATGGCGCTCCTCCTCACTTTGATTTAAACGTACGGCAGTTTTTGAACATTAGATTTCCTCAAAAGTGGATAGGCAGAAATGGACCTACTAAGTGGCCTCCGAGATCTCCGGACTTAAATCCATGCGATTTCTTTTTGTGGGGTCACATGAAACAACTGGTTTATAATGAACCTATTAATAGTGTTGAACAATTAACCAATAAAGTTAATGCGGTAGCCGAGGAACTACGACAAAATCCAAGACTAATTTCTAATGTTCAAAGTTCTTTGGAAAGACGATTGCAAGTGTGTGTAAATAATAATGGACGGCATTTTGAACAATTACTGTAATAAACTTTATTTTGAATTAATTGGTTTTGCTACGGCAACAGTGCAATTTCTATGGGTAAGTTCAATTTCGATTTATTTTACTTCTTTAAATATGGAAACTAGTAGGTCGGAAAAGGGGACTCTTCCCCAATATTTAAATTTTAGAATTTGAAGTTAAAATTGGTGCCAATCGTTTTTGGTCATTACATACTATTCCCCATTTTAATATGTACGTGTATTTCAATAACACCCTGTATATCTATCTATTCAGCTTAATCTAGAAATTATTTATTCCAAAACAATCAAGATTAACTATATTTAAATTATTACTAGCTTTTAAAAAGTTTATATTAGTTTTAGTTTCAAAGTTTATGTCTTGTTGGAGTTTAAAGTTTATCTGTTTCTCGTAATAGTTTTAATTTCTTAATTGTCATGAACTTTTATTATCTAAAAATGATATTTCCATAAAGAAAATGAGTTAAAATGTATACGAAGAAAAGCTAGGAAGCAATCAAGAAAATTATAACTTCAGAGATAGATCAAAAATTGGAAAATAGTCAACATTGTTAGAACTACAGAAATGTATAAAAAAGCGGTGGGTAGTCAGCAAAGCAACAAGTAGAAAAAGACTATACAAAGCAAGTTGAAGTCATACCATAATTTATTGATGTAGTGTTACTATTAAGGAATATTCATTCGTTTTTTAGATTTAAATAAACTGATGTATGTCGACTGTGACAAAACTATTAATAATTATCATATGCAGAAACATATTTACTAAAACTATATAAATTCTTGATTATTTCGGCCTTTTCTTGATGAAAACAATTTTTTATTTTAATTTTTTTTAAATCTAGCAAGTTTGGTTTTTCTTTCTTATTTAAATAAACTATATAATATATAAATATACAGGGTGTTATTGAAATACACGTACATATTAAAACTGGGTATTGCGCAGATCCCCACTGAATGTAGAAAAATATTATTTTTTAAAAATACCCCTTATTAAGGGAGTTATTAATTTTTGAAAATTAATTCTAAAACAAACGTACTTCACTGATATGTTGAGGATGACCTATATAAATTAGGTTTATTTACCTATTTTAAACATCAACAGTAATTAATATGCAAGTTTTTGTCAGATGATAAGAAAACTAGTCTTGTAAGAAATAACCATGTTGCCAAGATTTTTGAATTAATTTCTATTTCCGAAGACTGGTTTTTACTTTCCTCGTTATCAAAAAACTAGAATATTTGATAAATGATTGTTTTTAAACTATACATTTTTGAAACTATAGATTATTAAAATTTTAGTTGATTTACGAATCTGGCTAACACGAGCGCGTCATTTCCAAGTTGGTAAAAAGTGTTGTTACGATTACTTTTAAATATTTTTTTACGATGCCATTATTTACGAATATTGAACTAACGGATATAGTGCTGGTTTATGGGGCAGCTGGAGAAAATTCTCGGCAAGCACAAATCCTGTATCGCGAACGGTTTCCAAATCGGAGAATTCCGGACTGTCGTACGTTTATTTCAGCTGTTCAGCATCTAAGAGACCATGGAAAATTTGAGAGTGTCAATGCAGATCGAGGGAGAACAAGAACACAAAGAACATTGGCGGCCGAAGAAGAAATATTGAAAGCTGTTGAAAACCGGCCTCAATTAAGTTGTAGAAGACTAGGTCTTGAAATTGGAGTGTCCTCATTTGTTGTGTGGCGGACACTTAAAGAACAAGGTGTACATCCTTATCACATCCAAAAAGTCCAGGCCTTATATCCAGGTGATGAAAAAAAGAGAGTGGAGTTTTGTGAATGGATGATTCAAAAATGTGTTGATATTCCTGATTTTCTAAAAATATTATTGTATACTGACAAGGCTTCATTCACTCGTGATGGCGTGTTCAATATGCACAATACGCATATTTGGAGTGATGAAAATCCTCACGCCATTAGGGAAACTGGGCATCAAAGAAAATTTTCAATAAATGTTTGGGCTGGCATAATAGATCAGTATTTAATCGGGCCTTATGTTCTCCCGAACAGATTAAATGGGCCAGGATATCTCCACTTTTTAGAAGATATTTTGCCAGTACTCCTAGAAGAGATACCGTTACAATTAAGGCAACGGATGTGGTACCTACTAGATGGCGCTCCTCCTCACTTTGATTTGAACGTACGGCAGTTTTTGAACATTAGATTTCCTCAAAAGTGGATAGGCAGAAATGGACCTACTAAGTGGCCTCCGAGATCTCCGGACTTAAATCCATGCGATTTCTTTTTGTGGGGTCACATGAAACAACTGGTTTATAATGAACCTATTAATAGTGTTGAACAATTAACCAATAAAGTTAATGCGGTAGCCGAGGAACTACGACAAAATCCAAGACTAATTTCTAATGTTTAAAGTTCTTTGGAAAGACGATTGCAAGTGTGTGTAAATAATAATGGACGGCATTTTGAACAATTACTGTAATAAACTTTATTTTGAATTAATTGGTTTTGCTACGGCAACAGTGCAAT